GACCTGAGCCGAAGGCAGACGCCTAATGACTGAGCCACCCAGGAGCGCCACCCCCTCCCCCGCCAATAGAGCTTAGTCAATAAGTAGACTTCCATTTCCAAACCAGAAAACCCATCTGTTGTGGGCTGAATTGTGTCACCACCTGCCTCCTAAAGGCATCTGTTGAAACCCCCAGTACCTTAGAATGTGACGGGGTTACATTAAATGTGCTTACATTAAAGGAGGCCTTTAAGGGTGTCCCTAATACAATCTGACTTGTATCCTTGTCTGAAGAAGAATCTGAATAGGCAGGGAGACACCAGGAGCTCGTGCACAGAGGGAAGACCGGGGAAAGACGCAGGGAGAAGGCAGCCATCTGCAAGCCCTAGAGAGAGATTTCAGGGGGAACCAAACATGCTGACACCTTGATCTTGGACTTCCAGCCTCCAGACCATTGAGAAACCAAATTTCTCTCATTTAAGTTGCAGAGACTGTGGTATTTTGTTATGGGAACCCCTGTAGACTAATACACTATGAAAGTTTAACACTTTGTACCTGTATCTTGGAGCTGAAACTCTACCTTTAACACCACTGTTTTCCCATTTTGAATGAAGTCTTTATATCTAAGTCCAGAAAGAAATATGAACATTAAGGAAGAAAAATCTAATAGTAATAATTCATGGGTCACCAAATATGTGCCAGGCACTGTCAGGAGCTCTGTGGTCTGTCAAAATTTTCTCCATCTCACAGCTCAGGGACTCAGGACTACAGAGATTGAGTAATCATAATTGGCCCAAGATCATAAGATTAGCAAAGAAGAAGAGACTGCATTTGAGCATACACCTAAGACAGCTGAGTAGAACAGAAACAGCAAAGGCTCTGGGAGTTACATGACTTGGGTTTGAACTCGGGTTTGTTGCTAAATGACAGATTGTGACTTTGGGCAGGTCACTTGCCTTCCATGAGTCTCAGTGTCTTCAACTGTAGAATGAGGATAATACTATGTATCTTGTAGGACTAAATGTGGTAACACACGAAAGACTAAGAACATAGTATAGATTCAAGCATAGAGAGGTCCTTTGTTCTAGTTCACGCAGGCAAAGCCAGAACAAGAATCCTTGATCCCAACATTTGTAGAAACTGCCTATTTCAGCAGAGCTTTTGGTTTTATTTAAAAAAAAAAAAGTCTGCTATATTGATTTATATGCGGTCATTTAAAAATTAAACAAGCTGATCGCTAGCAGGTGACTGATTTGTCTCTGTCTTTAACTTGTCCCATGATGAGTTGCATCTTGGAATGTCTATGCACACCCCGGGCATGGGTTGAAGGAGAATCAAGTTAAGAGTGGTTTGTTTTAGCGGGTCAGAACTGAGCCAACAGAGACAAGTGTGTGTTTGAAAACATATATGTGATTAGGAATTCTGACTTGAATTTAAGTCTATTTTTACCTTGCCTTTCTTAAGGAAATCACTATTCAATCATGGCTAAAACTACTGCTCAGCTATAATTATCTTAAAAGTTTAATTACAAAAAAAAAAAAAGAAGAAGAAGAAGTACCACTCAGTATCACACCTTGACTCAAAACCGCCTCCTTCCATTTTCTAGATCAGTGACCTTGGCCAAATTCCCTAGCGTCCTTAACCCTATTTTCCTCATCTGTGAAATGACCACAATAACAACTATGTCACTGTTTGGTTGTAAATAATAAATGCAACTATATATGTGCAGTGTTTAGTGACAATAACATTTTCAGAGCATTTGCTATATGCCAGTCACTGGACCAAGCACTTCATTTGAATTTATTTATCTCAATATAGTCTTTACAACAACTTTGTGAAATAAATATTATTTCATCCTCATTTAACTGATGTAAAAGCTGAGATTCAGAGAAGTTGAGTAATTTATTCATGGTCACACAGCTAGGAGGTAGCAGAGCTGAATTCAGAGCCAGGCAGTTTGATTCCTGAGGCTATGATTTTAGCTTTTATGAGATGAGTAAATGTTCAGTACCCAATACTTGGAATTGTATTGAGAGAAGAACCATCTCTTTTAATCTGTTATTTAATTTTTAAAAAGAATTTTGTTCAGTTACTAATAAAGTATAACAGTAAATAGGAATGCTTCACAAAATTACATGAATGATGGTTTGTCCCAGATTTAACTTAGTCTCACCTAAGAATTATTTTTTTTATTTACACAAATTACATTGATGATAAAATTGTATAGTTAGTGTCAATGAAACTGAATAATGTTATCAGCACATAAGCTGAGAAATGTATATCAGAAACCACAGGGGGATGTGTTTACTGGGTAAGGAGGACTTAGTTTGGTTTTAGAATATACATATATAGTGTCCTGCAGGTATTTTTAAGTCAAAATGTACATTTGACACAAAATATGAAAAACTATCAAGACACTCTGCTTCAAAAAATACCATACTAATGTATTTTTTCCAGTTTTAACTTGTAAGTTGTATAAAAAGGTAATCACAATAGAGGGGGGAATCTCACCATCTAGTTCAAATTTTCCATCTTCTCTCAAACACATATCTCTATTTATCTGTACTTTTCTTCATTCAACATGTACAAGCACACACTTCAGGTGGCCCTATGCTGGATGGTGGCGATATCCAGAAAAAAAGACTCAGTTCTCCCTTTAAGGGAAGCTGGAGAGACAGAGATAGAGATAGTCATTAGAATAGAGAGATTGGTGTTTCCACTGCAAAATTTTCATAGCTGAGTTGGAAGACAAGTGAAGAAACTAGGAAGGGAATCATCCTGAGGTGAGAAGACAGAAAATGGCAGCGGTCTGAGGTTTGGAGAGTGGGGTAGTTTTTAACTGATTTCACTTCCTAGACTCTAAAGAGGGGCTGTAAGAAGGACATGGGGCATGGAAAGCTAGGCTGTGCCCCCTCCTATGCAGTGCCCTAGAGTTTGGATAGTTTACAGATTTTGAAAATGAGAATGTCCAGACATGACTAGATCTATCAGTTACAATGTTTCCTGGGAGCAGTGTGGAAGCTAAATTGGATTTAGGAAATTTGTGGGCAAAGTAATTTAGGATGTTAACTACTATGGCTATCACAGGAGAAAGTTAAGGGTCTGAACAAAGATGGTGACAATGGAAGCTGAGAGAAAAGGGCCTGAAAGGTTCTCGCTGCCCTAGATCCCAATTCTTCCCATGTACTATAAATACATAAATAAATAAATAAATACCCAAACCAACCAACCAACCAACTCGTTCTCACGTTTCCTTTTCTATCTCACATGTATTATTTACGAATGATCCAGAAGTAATTATTTAGAACAGATATTTATTGCATGACTTTGTGCCAGAAACTGGAAGAGTGCTTTATAGGTATTACCCAGCTTAATTTTCACCAAATTCTTACAGAAACTTCTACTCTACTAAGAAGAAGTCTGGGGCACAGAGAGTTGAAGCCACTTGCCCAAGGTCACACTGCTGGTCAGAAACAGAGGTAAGAGCCAAATCCACACTGTGTGAGTCTGAAGCAGACGTTCTCCTGCACCTGCAGCGGCTTCGGGTTCCTCTGCCTCTCACGGACTGCTTGCCTTTTAAGCTGAATCAGTCCTCCTGTCCTTCTCTCTCATCCTTCCGACTGCTGTCCAATCTATTTCTTTCCACTTAATGTCTTGAACTCCTGCGATACCCATCTTCTCCCCAGCCATGTTCTCTTTAAATTTCAGCCATTTGGTCCTTGTAAATTTATTCACACTGATTCTTTTCTTGAAAAATTCAAAGCATTCCTCCATCTGTTTTTCCCTTTTGCTCCTTAGTCTGTATAATTAACCACTCCTTTCTTCTTGAAGCTATTTTTCCCCATATGTACTGCAACACATTGTTCCCCCCGGCATGGTCCAATGTTCTTCTAGTGGTTCCTTCTGTGATTGGTTCCTTCCTGCTGAGGAGCTTGTCCCTTTTCTTCTCTGTTCTGTGCATGCCACTAGAGGTATTGGGTTTTTGTTTTGTTTCCTTTTTTTTTTTCCTCTGCTGTTCCCTTTCAATATGATCCTTCAACGTACTCTTCACATTGTGACTATTCATTATCATGATAGAATGTAAATCTCTTTTCCTGTCTTAACTTCTCAACATTTTTTGAAGACCCAGTTTCAGATCAACTTGGAAGTCTTTCTTCTGCAGCTTACTGACAACACGTATCTCACACAGCCCTCCAAAACACCTTCGCTGCTGACCCAGTAACCTTCAACCATATCTCCAGTAAACAGCAAAGATGTACACAAAGGATTCATTCTGCTCTTAGTTAAGCCTTTTGCCTGACTTTCATGTCCCCAAATGCTTAGGTTTCTTTGTTCATAATACATGCCAACCAGGTATTAAGCTTACGGAATTAAAATTGAAGCCTGCAGATGATAACAAGAAAAGGAGTGGTTAGGTCAGAAGAACAGCCCATCTTGGATACACAGCTTGTACTCAAGTTCCTGGAGGACTGAGAACCTCTTTCCATTCTGGCGACTCTGAGCCTTCAAAGCTGGTATGATTCAATGAGTAAGCATTCCATTGAGCCAACAGTTCACCAGGCTAACAGCGACTCTGGAAGGTCCTGTGCATGTAAATGATTACCCCCCTTGGGGAGCCCTCTCAAGATGACACACAACTGACACTCCAGTCTCCAAGACCTGGGATTTCAGACATAAACTTAGATTGAGACAAAAAGCAACACCCCTAAGATTTTGCTCTGTTTGCTTGTTTTTTATTTTATTTTATTTTATTTTTATTTTTATTTTGAGGAAGGGGTTGTGAGAGAGGGGAAGACGTTAGGGTAGGAGGAGGAAACCAAGCTCCTGAGCCCCTCCTCTCCCTCCTCTGCCCTCCTCTTCTCAGGGTGGTCTTTGCCGACTGAAGCTTTTTTTTTTTTTTTTAGAAATAACCTTTCTGTTTTTCCTCTCAGCGTCCTGCCAGCCACTCGGCCAGAGTCCAAGGGGAGGCTCTGACCCGAGCTGCGAGTCAGGAGGGCAAAGATCGCGAAGCTTGGCCAGGTGACACAGCCGTGGGTTCCCCGGCGCGGGCTTGACAGTTTCATCCCCGCCCACTCGCAGGAGAGCGCCCGGCAGGGCTGCACGCGCGCGCAGGGGGCCATAAAAGCCGCGGCGGCGCGGAGACGCGGAGCTCGCCCACCGCCCCGGAGCCCCGGCCGCACCATGCACGTGAACGGCAAAGTGGCGCTGGTGACCGGCGCGGCGCAGGGCATCGGCAGAGCCTTTGCGGAGGCGCTCCTGCACAAGGGCGCTAAGGTAAGCGTGGCGCCCGGCCGCGGAAACTTGTCCTCCCACCCCGAGACTCGCGCACCAACCGAAGGACTCCCGCGGGAGACAGGGGGCCCCTCCCGGGCTGCCCACCGTGCCGCTTTCAAAAGCTGCCAAGGCTGACGGTCTCCAAAGCGGCTAGGGAGAGACTCCGAACTTTAACTGCAGAATCTGCGGTCCAAGAGGGGGAGCGTCCTGGGGTTTATTTACTGTTCTTCTGTTTCACTAGCTGCGATGACCTCGATGCCTCCCTCTCCTCTCGTCCGTAGGTAGCGCTGGTCGATTGGAATCTTGAAGCAGGTGTAAAATGTAAAGCTGCCTTGGATGAGCAGTTTGAACCTCAGAAGACTCTCTTCATTCAGTGCGATGTGGCTGACCAGGAACAACTGAGAGGTAAGAGAGGGGAATCAATCCATCAACACCGAACACGCCTTGAACAAGCAACGACCTGAAGGCAGCCCGGGCCAGAGAGCCAGCCTCGCTCGGTGCAGGCAGATCGGCTGCCTCCTGGAGAGCAGCCACTTCTGAACTCCACTAGTTAGCCTGGACTGTTATGTTTCCTACTGACATCCCGATAGCCATAAAAACTAAGGGGGGAAAACCAAGACGGCTTGAGAAATCTTTTATTTTAGTCATTTGGCAGCACATGATGTAATCAAAATTCCTTTATATAGTCAAAGACCAAGTGCTGCTGCAGTGATGACTGAAAGACTGAAATTGCAGATGGAACTTGGAAAGTTGAAATAGGCTAAGGAACTGTGGCAAACAACTCCCAGAAAGCTGGAAGATGCAAAGTTCAATGACAACCAAATGTGGCAATGTTTCCTTTTAAACATACTAGAATGCAAGTTCAAGGATCGTAATCACAGACGTGCTAGATATTTCCAACCCAATGTTCTCTCTGGTTTCCCCCTCTGATATGGTACTTTAAGAATAATAATAGCTGTACTGCAGTGTTAGAATTGCAGAAGAAAAGTTTCTGTCAGACTTTCCTCAATGCTTTCCTGTTTCTGGTCTCCTCCCTTAAAATAGAACAATCTGCTTGTGAGATATCAAGGACAATATTGGTGTGCACGATAAAGAGATTTGGTCATATGGAGCCCTGATAGATTTGTATGAAAAAAAATTTTCTGGAAAAAAAAGTAGAAAAATAAAATATATGTATTTCACAAAGTTTATTTGAAAGAATAAATTGGGGGCACCTGGGTGGCTCAGTGGGTTAAAGCCTCTGCCTTCGGCTCAGGTCATGATCCCAGGGTTCTGGGATCGAGCCCTGCATCGGGCTCTCTGCTCAGCGGGGAGCCTGCTTCCCTTCCTCTCTCTCTCTCTGCCTGCCTCTCTGCCTACTTGTGATCTCTGTCTGTCAAATAAATAAATAAAATCTAAAAAAAAAAAAAAGAAAGATTAATTTGTTAGGCACTTCATTAATCAAGGGGCCAAAAATTTTCCATAAAAGTCATTCTAGCACCCCATCCTTAAATAAACACTGACATGTGAATTTCTTTGAAATGTTGGGATATTCTGTATGAGGATGAAAATGAAGAGGTACCTTAGAAGGGAATGTCCCCTATAGCTAAAGGTAATTGCTTTAAAGGAAATTATGTAATTAAATCTGAAAACGCTAATAAAGACCTATAACTTGAATTACAAGCACAACTAGAAGATATCTGTGAACCACAGTGCTAGTGGAATATATTTTGCCAGAGGATAAAGTTTTGTTGATTGTGCATGATATTTTGGATCAAGGATAAAGTCATGCCAAATTCCAACACCCATGCTGATGAAATAGGAAACAGTATAGATCATCTGAAAGCTATTTCTGCCTGAATTTATGTAGTTTCACATGTGACATTTAACCCTACTTGTTTTGCTTCCCAGTATTTAAAATTAGTATCTTGACTGTAAACACATTCCTTAAGGTAAGTGATTGTGGAGGAGGAAACTCAGACACATCATGAGTGACCAGGAGAAGGCATGTTGGTCATGAGAAATCCACATGTTGTCTGAACATCAGCATTTATTTGCATGTAAGGAAGACATGGCCTTGAATCAAACAATTTTAGGATATAATGCTATCTATAGCTTTTGAAACTGTTTAGGCTGTGGCCAAGGGAGACTTCTTTGAAATCACACAAATACAGAAGTGAAAAGTTTCTTGGAGATGATCTGGATATAACTCATATTACAAATGAAAATAATACAATGTTGAGAGTGTAAGTAAATTATAGAGTCTCCCAAGCTTCTAAATGTCAACAAGAGCTGAATTGTAAATTGTCTGAGCCCAAAATTCTGTGGTATGCCAGAGAGAAGATGATGAATTAGATATTGGTAAGGGCAGAGTATAAGGAATGCAATAGAGACCAGAATGAGAAAGAAAATTAAGGAAGCAATTAGATTTATGAACTTAACAATCTAATTTTCTATAAGATGGATGTGATTTTTGAAGAGTAGAACATGCTTCAGGTGGAATGCCAAAAAAAAAAAAAAAAGTATTCCTTAGATGTTTTCTGCTAGAGGGCCTTTCTGGAATCAATTTGAGATTTCAAGCAGTTTAAAAATTCCATGAAAAAGTAAACAGTTTTTATTTTGTTGTTTTCTATTCCAGTGTGGTACAATACTGTATATAATGCCCTTTGCAATATTTTTGACAATTAACTTGCCTAGTAATTTATCTATTTGGGAACTGATGAATCCATGCCCTCTTCAGTATGTGTGGCAGTTGTTAATAATTCTAAATTTTATTCAATCAAAATAAAGTTTGTGTGGATTTACTGTTTTCGAGGAACTCATAGATGGGCCCTAAGACCAGAGAATACATTCTGGTATTTGGAAGAACAGCCATGATTGTTATCTAAAGCCTCAGGTAATAGAGCTAGAACCAATGGTAAAAGGCCCAACAAAAGTGTTTAAATCTATAGAACTCTTGTCAAAGCCTGCTTTGAGAAATAATGTGTTTCCTGATACAAAAGTGGTAAAGCCAAGTATGAAATGGCTGAGGAAGGTTTACAAGGACTGGACTGGGTACGTGGATTTTAGACAATGTAATGGATGAACTTCTGGCCTGAGGATCTATGCAGACTTCACCAGGTCTAACGGAGATTTTACACAAATGAGTAATACAAAGTAGCAATAATAGTGAGAAAGAGAAAAGAATGAATAGTCAATATTGAAGTTACAGTATCCAAATCAACTGGATGAAAAGTATACTTTTACTAGCTGGGGTATCGGACTCTCTGAAATGATCATAAGGGATCTGAATACATGAGACGACTTGTGTTTAATATAACAAATATTAAAAAAAGGATTTTTGTCATAGTCTAAGCCACAGAACTTCGGTAATTTCTTCAGAAAAGAATTTTAGAGTCTGTGAGTGCACATGAGTCAGGGTAGGGGGGAGGGAGAGAATCTTCAAGCAAACTCCCACTGAGCACAGAGCCCCCAGCGGAGCTCAACCTCACTCAACCTGAACCCAGGTCAGATTTTCAACCACCCAAGCCACCCAGGCACCCCAGATGATGCACTTCTAACAGGTGTCTAGGTAATGCTGTGAATACTGTTGGCTCACAAACCATGCTTCGGGAAGCAAGGCATTAAGTCTCAGTCTAAGAGCATATTTTTTATTACAAAAGTAGATAAATGAAAATTAATTTCAAGACATAGGGTGGGATTGAAATGTACATATGGAACACAAGACCGTATCTATAATGTCTTTTTCTTTCTTTTTTTTTTTTCTTAGATACCTTTAGAAAAGTTGTAGACCACTTTGGAAGATTGGATATTTTGGTCAATAATGCTGGTGTGAATAATGAGAAAAACTGGGAAAAAACTGTGCAGATTAATTTGGTAAGCTATCTTCGCCATGTTTATTGTCTAAACTTGTGTAATAAAACAATGCTTCTAAAGAAGGAAAGGTTCTTACGTTCATGGAATCAATACAATGACTTACAACATAGAAAAAGGGAAGTTGCAGAAAGCTGGAAAAGAAGCATTTCCTTTTACAAATGGGAAGACATTTGAGGCTTCTAATTATGCAAATAAATCTGTCTTTAAAATATTAAAAGGAAATATGAAAAATAAAAAAACTGTAGTTTACTGCATAACTTAGATGTGAGCAAACTGTGGTCCATAGGTGAAACTAGCCTGCCACCTGTTTTTGTATGACTTAAAGCTAAAAATGGGTCTTACATTTTTTAATTGTTGAAAAAATGTAAAAGTAATATGAAATACATGAATATATGAAACTCAAATTTCAGCATCTATAGTTTTCTTGGAGCACAGCTCTGGTCATCCATCTATGTATTGTCTGTGGCTACTTTTTGCTGCAACAGCAGAGTTGAATAGCTGTGACAATGACCCCATGATGTGCACTAACTAAACTATTTACCATCTGGCCCCTTACAAAAAATTGTTTGTCAATCCTGGCTTAACTTGTTTAAAAACTAAGTCTTAATTTAATTCCAGAAATGTAACAGAAAGCAAGATTAAAGTGACTGTTACTTTGTAATTATTAGGATTTTTATCTGAAAGTCGGTGTGTGTGTGTGTGTGTGTGTTTGTGTGTGTGTTTATGTATAATTTCTACAATGTTTGATGATCAGTTAGCTCTTAAATTACAGAACTGTAGAATTAGAAAATAAAATTTCTCTTTTATCCTCTGTATCACAAGTTGATTGGTTATCCCATTTTATAAACACACTTGACATAAGATGTTGGGGTTCAGTAAAACTTAAGCCTTAGCCAAAGAAAGCTGTAAGAGCTAGGCTGTGTGGAGGGGTCACCCTGCCCTTGCTAAGGTCATTCTACAAGTCTTGCAAAGCAGGTATGTGTCAAGTACAGAAGGACCACTGTGTGTGTATCAACATACAGGGAGTGGCCCCCTACTTCATGATAAGCTCCTTAAAAACAGAATGTGTTATGTTTTTTCTTTCTTTCTTTCTCAGTAATCAACACAATATCTTGAAGATAGTACTTAGTCAATAAATATTTGTCTTGAATCTATATTCCCATGAATAATTTCTTAACTCTAATAACTTGATGGGAGTAATGAAAATTACACTACCTCACGAAAGAGCTGAACCACTTTGATAAGGGTACAAAGTTTCTCCCCAAACTTGACAGATACCTGAAGTTCTTTAATTGAGAATGAAAGGTACTCCTTCCAGCTCTTTTTAAAATTTGTCCAGTGTTCCTAGATATCATCAGTTTTCAGAATAACCTTAAAATTTATGTGTCAAATTTCTCCCAAAGTCTTTCTGGGATATGTGTGTGTGTTTAGAGACCTGACCTGTCAACATTTATGTTAAATTTGTCTCTTGCTGACAGTATAGCATGAGCTCTTATTTTTTTAAGTCACATCTGAGCATATCTACATTTTATATTTGTGGATTGAAGCCACTTATACTTATTATCACCCTTTATTGGGATTTATGTCTTACACTTTTGTTCATGTTTTATTTTTAAATTAATCTTTTAAAGACTTTATTTTGGAGAGAAGAGAATGAGTAGGGGGAAGGGCAGCAAGAGAGGGAGAGAGAAAGAGAAACAGACTTCCTGCTGAGTACAGAGCAAGATGTAGGGCTCAATCCCAAGACCTGTGAGATCATGACCTGAGCTGAAATCACGAGTTGAATACTTAACCGACTGAGCCACCCAAGCATCTCTTCAGTTCATATTTTGAATTTACTAAGTTCTCTTTTTTTTGTTTTTGATCTTTTTCCATTCCTTTCTTAAATTCCACTGGATACCTATTAATTCTTTTCTGCTGATAAGAAAATTGAACATTTTATTTTATTTATTTTTTTAAGATTTTATTTATTTGAGAGAGAGAGAGAGAGAGAGAGCGCGTGCATGCAAACGAGTTGAGAGGGGAGGGGCAGACAGAGAAGGAGAAGCAAATTCCCCACGGAGCGGGGAGCCTGACTCAGAGCTGGATCGCAGGACCCTGGAATCATGACTTGAACCAAAGGCAGATGCTTAACTGATTGACACACCCAAGCACCCTGAAAATTACACATTTTATTAATCTTTGGTGGTTGTCCCTGACTTATTATGAACCATATTTCATTGCATCCTTTGGTTGCCAGATGGAAAAAAAAAAATGAATTGAAAACTTCAGGAATATTTAAGTATATTTTTATAAACTTAATGGCACTTTCCACAACCACATAAAGTGACAATAATTTCTTTGCATCAAGCTCTGCTAGTGAAAAAGCATGAATCACACAACAATTTTCTCACTACTGATATTTTTAATAGTTTCATCTGTAATATCTATAGATATTTCATAGACAAAGATCACTACATTATGAAGTTCCTATATTCGTTGCATTCATAATGGACACCTACTATGTCTTTTCCTTAAGAAATCAGTTGTCAGGGTGTCTATGTGGCCCTGTCAGTTAAAAGATTAAGCATCTGCCTTAGGCTTAGGTCCTGATCCCGGGGTCCTGGGATGGAGTCCCTCATTAGGCTCCCGGCTTAGTGGGAGTCTGCTTCTCCCTCTCCCACTCCCCTCTCCCCACTTGTGCTATCTCTGTCTTTGAAATAAACAAATAAAATCTTAAAAAAAAAAGACAGAAATCAGCTCTCAGAAAACTGCAATGATTTGAGTTAATATAAAGAACATGAAAATAATGAAGACATTATCACAAAGAAAATGGGATTAGAATTATCAATCTTCATCTGGCCGAGAGGGCATGTTTGCTCTAACATGTCCTGAGTGAATAAACACTTCCTGCAGGCTAGAAATTCTTATAATATCTGCAAATAGAAGATTCTAGAAGACCAGGAGAATTTTATTTGACTCCTTTGGTTACAACTCACTGTCTTGGATCCTTCCTCATTGAAATTATCTGGCCTTTATTTTTCTTCGAACTCTGCTGACATAGGGCACTCCTTAGCTTAACTCCAGGAACTAATGACATTTATTTAATTTACATCTAGAGAGCAAGATATAACCTTTGTTACCTATATATAACATGTTACTTCCCCTCCTACCTGCAACACCCAGTTCAAGACTAGATTGGAGTCTGACCTATCATTATCCTTCCAACTTGATTATCTTGTTATATAATGCAAATATTTGTGTTTGGTTTATATATTTTTTAGACTCTGGATGTAACTTGCCTCCTTTCACGAGACCAGGCATGTTCTGTTGCATGTTCCTCTATGTTCTTGTCTCTGTTAGAGTAACCACTTAGTTAAAGGACTTTACTACGTATCTCTTCCTCTTCTGGAATCTTGTATGCCCTAATGATACCTATAGGGCTTACAAATTTTAAAATTTTATTAGAATTACTTTTATACCTGTGCAATTTATTCCAGTAGGCTATAAGCTCTTTCAAGGCATAAAATTTTTGTTTTGTGTACAGAGTAGATGTTCAATTTATATTTACTGGAGACATAAACTACCATTCTATGATATTTTACATACATGGATATTCATTTTCGTATTTTAATACAATGTTTGGTTTATTTCCGAATGCATCAGTGTTGCCAAGCTCTACCATTTGTCCTTCTACTTTTACTACTTACCAAACTTACCACTTCCTTATCCGTAACTTAGCAGAACTCATCGCTCTTCCCACACAAGGGATACATTAAACCTCTTCCCATTCTTTTGTTTTCATTAAGCTATTCGGTGCTTCCTCCTTAATCTGAAGCCAACTGCAGTAGCTTTATTTATAGCTACCCAGAGCTCATTAGGAATGTTCAGGGAAGACTGAATCTTTGACTATCAAAGGTTACTCTGGCAATTGGGCGGGTGGAGGTAGATTTAACTTTGAATATTGATAAGCCCATTCTGTAATATACTTCTTTACTTTCTGATCTTTAAGAAGCCTGAATAAATTCATTCCCATTCATATGGGATTTATAATCTAATTTGGATATGTAACTAACTTATTGAATCGCTTAGTGTACTCAAATAAAAACGAAACAAAATAGATGGCTTATTGTGATTGATTATTTTTTTCAGAAATATAAGGGTTGACAAAAGATTTGTACTAATAAGAGTATGCATTTAGACTCCATCAAAACTAGATGACAGTTCTGAATTTAGAATTCATGAACTTTTATTTCATGTCTCTGGTCTTCAATTTCCCAGTTGTAAAAGGATGAAGATAATTTCCTTACCCGGAAGGATGGTTAAGCTTAAGTAAGCCCTAATTTACATGAAGTATCCAGCAGGCTACTACATAGCATCACTCAATAAATTATATTTCTCCTCCTTACCTTTTCTTCATTGTCACAATCTCATTTATATACAAAGTGGGTTCCTCTGTCGTACTCTGCCTCTAAGGAAGAGTTGAGGAGATGGGGAGAAATGTGGTCAAATGTACTCCTGTTTCTTGGCTCCAAAGGATGCTGATTACAAATTAAATTAGTAACTGCTCTCTGTTTTGTTACTCCTATTCCATAATGTTTAAAGATCTAGTGGAACTATTATGGTTAGGCAGAACTTGCTAAATTTTAAGTAGCTCTGCAAAGGGGAATACAATAATATTTCTCATATTAAAAAAAATGAAAAAAGACTGAACACAGAGAAACAAAAGCTGAAGAAGGATTTCAGAGAAAAAAAAAAGTGGTCACCTGTATTAGTACTCTTCAAGAACTGGGCTGAAGAAAAGACAAGAAACCTTAAAGGCAATATTTTATGATTTAGATGACAGAATTTTTAAAATGAGAGTTAAGAGTGTAGCACAAGAACCAGAAATAAACTAAAAGGAACCTCAGAAGGGAGGGAGCTAAGATAAGGAAAATGATATATTAGGAAATTTCAGCAGTGAATACATGTACATGTGTTTTTTGTATATAGGTTATGGAAATATATATATAATATATAGCATATTATGTATTATATATACAATATATACTGCATTGCACATATAATACATGATTTAATTAATTAATATTAATTAATTGTGGTTAATTAATATTAGCAATATAATTAATATAACATAATTAATATATTAATATGAATATATTTAATATATATCCATATATATTAAGAAGACATGACACCTGGTAAGAGTTAAACAAATATGCTATTACCATTTATCCATTTGTCTTTGTTACTTAATAATTATTCCCAGTACAGGGAAATTTATGAGTGGTTTTAATTTATAGGGTACTTAAATCTGTGGGAAAAACTAATTTAAGATTTGGAATACAGCACAGTTATAATTTTGGTATTATATTTAGAAATTATTCATAATCAAAACTTGAGTAAGCATGTGTTAATTAGATCATTTTGTCAGTAAGTGAATTTTTATTCACACTATGTGAAATTAACCATAAAATTTTCTTTTTCTCTTTTTGAGAGTCAAATCCCAATTTTTTGGAGGTCAAATACAAAATTGAGAGTACCTTTATGATAGACTAAAATAATACTATAGATCCCCGCTATTTTGTGTTTGTAGCTAGAACATGCCTGTAACTTTTATTTTCTCTTTTTTTCCCCCCTAGATGCTTGATATTTTAATGACTCAATCTATGTGCTATATAAATATTGCCAAGGAATAAGAAATACATTTAGAATATTAACAAAAACATTTTATTCTGTGGCTTCCTAACATTTCCCTGATTATACTGCCTGGGATAATAAGGAAGAGATTGTTGTAGGAGAGGAGGTGAAAATATTACCTATGCCCCAGCCAAAGAATTAAACCCTGTTATATTCAGAGGAAAACTCTCATTTGAAAAGTTACCCAGTTCTTAACTTGATAATGGATGGGAAAATAATCCTTTATCCTCCTCCACCAAAGACCTAGAAATAAATCTTCCTTTTTAAAAAAAATTAAAGCTGAAGTATTCCCAAATTTTTTATTTGGCTGCATCTAATAGATCTAGAAAACACAAAAGCAGGGTGTCAGCAAAGCCGTAAATACCTGAGAATAAAAGCATAGCGCCAATATGCGTAAACACAGAAATTCTGTCCAGACATGCTAGAGACTTAGGCAGAAACGACCAGAATCTAACTGACTTCAGTTATTTCAGCCATGTACATTTTTTCCTTCTTATATAAACCATTTAATGTTTTGTATTTTTTCTTTGTAAAGGAACTCGTGGAGATTTTACTCATTCTCCCTAAGCCTACTTAATATCATACTGACACATGGCTTAAGTGAATAGAATCTTCAATTTACTTTTTTGTTCTAGAACTAGTATTAGGGAGAATGGCAACATTGAATGTGTGTCAGGAAAACTCCAAAGGGACTTTTTTTAAAATAAAAAGAAGGTAACCACCACTGTATGCTCTCTGTTCCAGACTCATTACTGTCATGTCATTTTCTTTGCGGTATTGTAAAGAATGCAAAAAGTAGGAATTAAGATGTCAAAGGAAAATGTTCACCTTCTCAAAGTCAAATTGGAAGGAAGAGTTCTTAAATCTAAAATGGAAAATGAGGTTTCAAGTAGAAGTTTCGGACCACAAGTTGTTTTTGTAGTGGTAAATTCTCCAATGTTAGAATACAACAGGGAAGCCTGGGGAGCTCCATCGGTTAAGTGGCTGCCTTAGGCTCAACTCATGAACCCAGGGTCCTGGAATCGAGTCCCGAGTTGGGCTCCTTGCTCAGCTTCTCCCTCTGCCTGCCACTACCCGCTGCTTATGCACACGCGCTCTCTCTCTGACAAATAAATAAGCAAAACCTTAAAAAAAAAAAAAAAACGCAAAAAACAAAAAGGTTGCCTACATGGGGAGGAGAGTAACCAATCAGAGTAAACTCTCAAAAAGCCAGTGCAAGAGTGATGAACAAGTTTAAGTGGCGGACATTACAGAAGACCCCTTGTCCAACTGACCAAGAAGTCAAGGTCTTGAAACGGAGTGAAAGAGTTATGTGATCTCACACAACACAGAAGTCAGGAGTGCTTGATATTGCCATGCAGTGATCCCAGAATGCAGTTTCTTTTCATTTCTCTGGTCTGCCTCTCTTCACAGAGTTTCATCTTAAGAATGTTAGCAATGTAACTATGTATTCCTGCCATCACACCCATACAGAGGGGTGGGAAAGGACTAATCGTATCTTTCTGGTTTTCTTAAAAGCAACAGTCTTTTCAGCCACATTCTCTCTCACTGCCCTTTCTTGACCTGGACCTCCTCCTGCTGACTGCTCCTCAGGTCTCACTGGCTAGAAATGGGTCACCTGTGGGCTCTTAAGCCAGTCACTAGCAAAGAGAATGGGATTTCTGCAACTGAATGAAATTAATCAGTGACCACACTAAACCTGGGGAGATCACCTTCCTCTGTGTTACATGGGGAATAAGTAGATACAAATGCCAAATAGACTTTTTATTAGAAAATTTTTTTTAAAATGACATGAAAATGGTGTAGGAAATCAAGGGTTTCCACTATTATGTATCCCAAAATCCAAGAGAATTAAACAGAGCAGATGTATGTGTGTGAAAGACCTGGATTTGAGAATGATATGTTAAGTAGGGTAAATAAATTTTGTGCCCAATATTTAGAGAAGTAAAAGAATACTGCATATACAGTTCTCGAAGGCTCTGAGATTTGAGGTCAAGTGACAAAGCACTATGGGAATACAATTTTTTTCATAAAGTCTCAGATTGGGCAACTAAGTGAACTTTTGGGGAGATGTGAGAAGCTCGGCAACTGTAGGCAAACAAAAGAAAAGCTACACAATGACTCGCTTTTAAAAAAAAGCAAACAGCCACTTGAAAGCTTTTCAGAGGTAGTATGTGCAGAAATCTCCCTGGGTGTCTACAATCACCATAAAAACTTCAGTCTGTGATATATAATAAAGCATAATGGCTATGTTGCTATTCCCTTTTATGTCTCTGGATTAGGTTTCTGTTATCAGCGGAACCTACCTTGGCTTGGATTACATGAGTAAGCAAAACGGAGGTGAAGGCGGCATCATTATCAATATGTCCTCTTTAGCAGGTAAGGACAAGTATGACATTCATAACAATTTCCTATTGGTAATATGGACCACAAAAATAAATCTTCATTAATAATAACTTCCTACTGGGGCGCCTGGGTGGCTCAGTGGGTTAAAGCCTCTGCCTTCGGCTCAGGTCATGGTCCCAGGGTCCTGGGATCAAGCCCCGCATCGGGCTCTCTGCTCAGCGGCGAGCCTGCTTCCTCCTCTCTTGCTGCCTGTCTCTCTGCCTACTTGTGATCTCTATCTGTCAAATGAATAAATAAAAAAATTTTTAAAAAAATAAATAATAACTTCCTACTGATAATTTGGATCACAGAAGTAGATAATCAAAGTACATTTATTATCAACTTGGGAACTTAAAATTTGTTTAATTACTTGGTTTTGTTTTTACTGGCTCTGTGGACTTTTCTGTTGCATAATATCAGGAGTTTGGAGTATAGGTTTACTTCTGTCACTTTAAATTGTGACTTTTTAAGCTCACTTACTGTGGCACTGAGCAGTAATGCATATGAAAACATCTTTAACAAAGTACAAGAGTGCTAGAACCAGTAAGGTATCTCTACTCCCATGTGACTTTAGAAAGAGTATATCGTAATTGAAATCTGTTGTAGGGGAGGCCAGACTTTACCTGTAGTTTCTTAGGGTCTCTGGCCAGGCCTGAGAATTAAACTGACGTAAGACAGATGAGCAAGAAAAAAGTGTATAGATTTTTAAAGGTACATGAGTGTCCCCATAGAAAAACCAAGACCCAAGAATGACTAGGCCTAAGCATTTATAAACAAGGGTGAACGAAGAGAGGTAATTATGGGAAAGCCACTAAAATATATAGGGGGCCTAAAGGAAGGTGAGAATTATTTTAAGAAGGTCTGTACAGATTTCCGCTGGCCTGGACTCCCCATCTCTGATGATAAGAATGTTTCTTTCCTACTGGTATAGGAAGGACATATTTTACATGGGAGTTTCATCACCTGCTTTCAGGAGCAAAAGGAGAGGTCAGAAAGCCCATCTTACTTACACCTGCTGTTTTTCAAGTGCCTTTAGTTCTAAATAATCCTTATGCCAAAGTGGTACATTTTGGGTTGAATTATTCTGCCATCCTTCAATGCTAAACAGCTGTAATACATAGACCCAAAAATGTAATGGCTTAAATTTAGGATAAGCTTATTTCTCACTCATGTATCAGTCCCAGGCAAGATTCTTGTTGCTGGGACCCTCTTCTATAGGTAGTCATTGGGAAAACTGGCTGGCTGAGGTCTCTGACACGGAGCTTCCATAGTTATGCTGATGGGGGTGGGGTGCCGTGGGATGGGGGACTCCTTTCTCTGCAGCAGAAATAGAGAACACTGAGGGAAAGGGGGGAAAAGCTGCTTTTCTAAACCCTTTTACCCCCAGCCCAGTAATGGCAAACCTCACTCTTGTTGAGATTCCAGAACAGAATTTGATCTCATGGCTCATCTAACTACAAGAGGGCCTGAGAATTAGTCTAGCTCTGTGCCTAAGAAAGAAACGGATTCCAGTCCATGGCTAACCATCTTTACCACAATGTGCAATCCAAACTCTGTCTTAGTCAGGACAGTAGGATTTAGTTCCACCTGATACCATATTACTCAATAGTGGCTTTAAGTCTTTGGCAGAAACTTTGGAACAACTCAGCCAGATGATATGACTTCTAAAATTCTAGGGGGGAAAAATCACCAATGCTTTTTCAGTAGTTCAAATGATAATTTCATTTGAAGTTTTAGAAGTCTGACCAGTATTGACAGTGAGTGGTCTAAACTCTGCCTGTCCCAAAGTAGGGACACTTCCTTACATTATCTGGTTTCAGTCATGTGGTAATTTCAAAACAGGTGCTCAAAACAGGTGTTCCCCGCCTCTCCCACTGTGCCCCACCTCCCAGCTCTAGTTGTATTTCAGGGGTCAGGTGTGGAGACACCTGTGACAACACCAGAGATCTGCTTCCCAGCATTGTTCTTTCTCCTTCCTCTGGGTGTCATTGTCAGATGGTCCTTAAGTCTCTTTAAACTGCCACCAAGGGAGGCTTAGAAATCTCCTTCTTGAGAAGTTCTCAAAAAACAAACGAGCATTTCCGTTTCTGGGTTGCTTAAAAACAAAATAACATCCCTAAAGTTATTATAGAACGAATTCTACAAGTTTTTCAGGGTAAATTGGTTATTTTTCCTAATGTAATATCTACTTATAAATGATAAGATTTCAATTCTGAGGATGTGGTAAAAGGTGAGAGCATGGGCAAGACTTAGATATTTGGCCTAAGAGAGAGCCACATTTAAATTCTGGGAGTCTGAAACCCTAGAGTCAAATTGCCATGGCTATGTCTGCACTATTTTGAAATAAAATTATAAAGAAAAATACATAAACAATTAGAGAATTAATAAGAAGTATTCGATATCTTAATAAAAATAGAAATGTACAAAAACCTGGGGTGGTGATCAAGAGATAATCCCATGGGTTGTCTCTTAAAGCTAAAGGGCTAACAAGGACTGGAGAAGCTTGAATCCTGTTCAGGGAGCCCCTTGCCCTTCTGTCACTGGAAGTACTTCTTTCATTCCCAGGAAGTCTGGAAGCCTCAAGGCTGAATCAATTTAGAACTCTATTCGAGACATTCTGTACCATAAGAGGAGGCTTAAAAAAAAAAAAAAGGAGGCTTATTTGCCTCAGAGCTTGAATAAAGATGTACAATGCAGTACTGTATTTTAGCCAATAAAAATATTTAAAGGTGTCATCACACTTAACATTCATTGAACACTTACTGTTTACATGCTACTATTTTAAACATTGTGTGTGCCTTACCTCATTTAATACAACCACCCCACAAAGTGGATTCTGTAATCTCCCTTTTGTAGGGAAGGAAATCCAGGTAGGAGAATTTGAGTATCTTGCACAAGCTTACACAGCAAGGAAGTAGTAAAGCTGGAATTCCCACGTGAGCAACCTGATTCAGGACCTCCTCTGTCTTAACCACCGGGTTATCTAACTCTTCTGTCCATGAGATTGTTAATTTGGCTCTCTATCCATGATGAGTTTAGCCCAACTCTGAGGTAAAAGAAACTGAATTTGTCTAAATCCATTAAACCAGGGAAATGTGCTAGTTATCTTCAAGCCTTCTGGGCACTGCTTTAATTTCAAGACCACATGACTAACCCTCAGTGATATCTTAAGCTTTTGCCCCATTTGACACACAGAGTAAAGCCCTGAAAACATCTGAGGAGCTTACCAAAGGCACAAGTCAAAACACGTCTTTGGCAAGTGCAATTTAAGGATTACAATTAGACGTCCACTTTGCTCTCTTGGCGAAGAGCTTGCTTTATCACACTACCCACCTCTGGGTGTTCATTGGCTTTTACCTGTTTCAGAGTCAACATTGGGAACCATGTGTGGATCTTTCTCTAGTCATGCAGATGAAACTGAATAAATACAGATTCAGCAATAAGATCATTTTGGTTTCAAATTACCTTTCTGGCACTCTTACAATTTAATGAATATCATAGCATTCCAGACTTCTTCTCCACCTACTATTCCTCCCCGCCAGCAGGGTGTCTCTGCTTATAATGGTTGCATAGCTTATCTTTGTCCATTGTGTTTAATTTGGTGCCTTCATGCTTATGTAGGGACGTACCCTCCCTCAATAATGCCCGACCTCCATACCTGATGCCTTTATACTGTTTCTTTTTTGTCACTGGCCAACCTGGACAGGCTTTGCCACCTTTCTTCCCACCTGGGCTTTGGCATTAATGTCCTTTAATCTCACAAAGAGGATGAAGATAAATTGCCCTGTAGTCTATCCAATCAGCAAGAACATCTCTTCTTCCCACAGTGAGATGAGTTTGATAAACACTCAGGATTTTGTAATAGTAGAAAAAGATCAGTGAGAACCTCTCTGGCTTTACATTTTCCTCAGAAGTGTTACCAAGAGTTTTATACCCTTGAAGTCATAGCCTGTTGGGAGAGGTCAGATGACCAAAATGTCTGAGGAGTTGCCAGAGTCAAAGTATTTTTTCCCCTCAGCTTTATTGAGGTATAAATGACCAAATTTCTAATGCTTACTTCCTATGTGTTTTCCAAAAGTGTTTTCTGAACTTTCTTTCTTCAGATTTGTTCCTACTTCCCTCCCACTGGTCAGTCCACTAATGGAATAGCTGTGGGTGCTGTTCAACTCTACCAGTCTTTCCTCACAGTCTCTTACGCTGTCAGTAAAACCTTAAGTTGAAACACTGGTTTGGGCAGAGAAGTTAATGAGTAATGACCACTGACGCAGACCAAATATCAAATGCAATTAATAAGTTTAACAAACAGGAGTCAAATGGAGAGTGATTCCACTGTGTATTGAGGGAAGGGTGTGCGCCAGTGGGAGCTCCAGAAGATGTTCTGAGCACTGTTGACCACCTAGACTCCTCTATGAGTTTCTGTCTATAAACACAGTATGTAAAGCTGTGCTCATATTGACATAGTCATCCTTAACTATTAAAAAAAAAAAAAAAGTTGAGAGGATCAACAACAGATCAGCCTGAAGTCGGGTTTGACACCCATCGTCTGGCACAAGACATCTCATGAGAGTCAAGTGTGCTTCTTATACAGTTCATTGCTTCTGACAGTGGGAAGGAAGAAATAGTTGTCACAGGAAAAGCAATCTGCCTGCTAATCCTTCTCCCACTTGCCTATGTACTTAGCTTTGGAGGTCCTAGTGAGCTCTGGGGGTATCCCCTGTGCCTTTGGGACAACCACTCAGGGGCATTTTGTGAGAGATCCTATTAGGGTCTCATTTCCTGAGATGGAAAACAGTAAGTAAGAAAACTTAAAAACATTTAGAGTCTCAAGAAAATACTTGAAAAATCATTGATTTCTAAAATACCAACCCAGTATTTTACTTACTTGGCTATACGTTTCATCTAAATTGATATAATTAGCTTGACGTTTGTGTTGAGGTGAATGTGCTTAAGATACCTCTGTAAGGAGCAGCTTCTACTTAAACCTACATTAAGCA